TTGTACTTGTTTATCTGGACCAGTACTTATCCATATTGTACTTGTTTATTTGGACCAGTACTGATCCATATTGTCCTTGTTTATCTGGACCACTACTGATCCACATTGGACTATTTCATCTGGATCAGTAGTGATCCACATTGGACTATTTCATCTGGATCAGTAGTGATCCACATTGGACTATTTCATCTGGATCAGTAGTGATCCACATTGGACTATTTCATCTGGATCAGTAGTGATCCACATTGGACTATTTCATCTAGACCAGTAGTTACCTATATCTTCTCAACAACTTCTAGTTGAATTCTAAAATGCTTTTATTTTCTGATTTGTAGATGATGATAAAGTGGCAAAAATGAATGGTTTTGATCGTGCTGGAGAAAATGAAACTCTCACAAATGGCAATCCCTTCAGCAAACACATCAAAATTGAGAAACCTGTCAATGGCCTAACAAATGGCTATCATGACAAAGAAGACACGAAGAAGAAAACTACTCCGAGAACCACCCCTAGTGAAATGAATGGACATGATAATAAATCACCTCGCAGTAAATTTTTCCCAGATACACTGCCGGTTAAAGATAGTAAAGATGATTTTTTGGTGTCTGCGAAAATTGCATCAAATGGTATTCCAGTTGCCATGACAGTTGTGCCATCAATACACACGGCAACATCATCTAGTAGTTTTGTGAGTCAGGATTTGACCCTGACGAGCAAGCCACAACCAGTGTGGACTACTAGTAAAATACCAAATGGGAGAATACTGGACCTTAGCCCCTCTACAGATGTACGTAGTCAACCACCGAGACGGACAAGAAATTCAGTTTCTAATGCTAGAAGACATAGGCAGGTGTTTGGTGGTTCGATTACAAACAACTCACAAATTAGCACGTCGCGGTGTAATGGACATAGCCCTTTGAGTATGCCAATGTTGTCTCCGAACTTGGACTGTAAACAAGAGCCAGGAAACTCACCAACATGGACTCATGTCACTTCCAATGGTGCTCTCTCTCAATCTGATGCTGATACCACCTCTGCTTGTAGTCCGCCATTTGCATTTCCCAGCGCATCATCAAATGGACTTTTCATCGCGTATCCTACTGGACTGTTACCTGCGAACTCAATGCATCATTTTGTCCCCGCATTTGTCAGCAATGGTCACGTGACTCCCATGATCCCTGGCGTCAATATTCCAACAGGGATGCCAATGAGTTTACTGCCAACATCCATCTGTAATGAGTCTCTCCCGAAATGGCCAAAAAAGGAGGAGGAGCAGGAGGAGGAAAAGCTCGAGGAAGAATTATCGCCAAACAGTCTCCCAAAAATTGAATCAGTCGTCAGCTTAGGTATGATAGCAGCTAAAATGTTTGAAGATAATAAGAAGATGTCTCTTTCTGATAATAGAAACAACTCGCTCAGTAATCCTCAACCAATCCCCTTGAATTATGTTGTGAAATCGGAACCTACATTACATATCGAAGATTGCTATGAATCAAGAATACCTAACGGTCAGTATATTAACTTTAAGCATTAACTTTAATATTTTAAATTTTCTACAAAGTCTAAATGTAATGGTTTGTTTCTGCAGATCAATGTTTTGGGGGTTATAGTCTAGGCAGTTTAACCAAGTGGCGGTCATATAAAAAACTCAAAATCATCAAATTGATGCCATCAACCGTTTCTCAATTATGTCTATTTTGGTAAAACTTTATAGAACACAACTAGACCTGAAAAACAAGGCTTTAAAAGTCTGCTTCAAAATGAAGCAAACACTCTTTTTGGAATTAAGTATCCCATTGCGAATTCATCTAAAGATGCAGTATTTAAACCAGTCCTTCTGTACTGTGCAGAAATTTGATCAAGTCACATAGTTAAACACACAAAGGATTTGTGTAACTTTGCAGCAAATTTTGCTAGATTTTGCTGAAAGTAAAAAGCAGGGCTCCCAATCTAGCTTGGTTACTTGAGCTAGGGAGATATCCTCTTGCCATAGAAAGCACGAGGCAAATGATAAAACATTGGATGGGGATAAGGGGATATGCCAGGAAATACACTAATAAGCGAAGCATATAAGCTTGGTTTGAAAATGCATAACTACATAACAGTAGGTATACAAAGTGGGTTATCTAGTGTGATCCAAATACTAGATGAATTAAAACTCAATATCTGGAAAAACTATGCCAGAAAAGATGTACAGAATTGATGCACACTGACGACAAAGTCGTAAACCATAAAAATAAACTGAGAACGAACAGAAAATTAAAAACAAAATTTTTCACTAGTGAAGTACTTGCAAATAATAAAAAAAAACTGCTATATCACATTGCAATGACCAAACTGAGGCTAAGTGCCCATCACTTACAGATTTGGTAGGTACAATAGTGTACCAATCTCAGATAAGAAAAAATGTTTAGTTTGGGAAATTAACGAAATTGAAATTGTCAATTATACACTAAAGAAAGAGAAATTTGTTCAGAAAACACATTATTCATGAAAACTAAACAATGAACAGTTATTAATTAATATTTTAAACAATAACGATTGAAAACATTATAAATGGTGTGGCGACACAAATCTCTGTTTTAATATACAAGAAAATTCAATATCTAGAAATTGGAGTGTCTTGTTTTTTTTAATTTTTTCTGTATCGTTAGTGTCAGTTACTTTTTATGTTTTCAAAATTTAGTGCTTTCTTGTGCTTCATCAAAACTTCAAATATGTGGTACGATGGCAATAAAGATGTTTTCAACGTCAGTGAATAACATGCTTTGTATCAAATTCTTTCACCATGTATTCGTAAATGATTATAAATTAGGCATTAAGATAAGGATTGAGTTGCCAGGCTGCGTTGTAGATTCTCACAAAGTAACGATCTATTTATTCCACCTAGCTTAAGTCATAAATTACCTGGCAAACTTTAGTTGAAATTGGCTCAATGAGGAAACAATTGAATGACGCAATAAAGTTTAAAAAATACCTCATACAAATGTCACCTTAGTTTTGTAGAAATAACTTTATTGAGTGAAAAAAAACTTTCTACATTTGCGTCATTTTGTCTCTATTCAGCAGCTACAGAATGGTTCTAGTTAGAACTAGTTTTGAGACAAGGTCGTCATGTACTGACAAAGTTCATGACGTATATTTATGATTGTATACCTAAATGTGCCTTGTATAAAGTCCTATTTTGTTGCCCAATCACTATAAAAACGGTTTCCTATCTTACTGGTACCCGGTACTAATAGACTGAAAAAAAAAAGTTACTTTTTTCATGGGCTGGATGTTCAAGTTTTATTTTTGTTTATCATAGAAACTCAACTTGTGACCGTTATAAAGTAGAAATAAACAACGTAAAATGCATTTTTATTTTATTCTAATCTGTACAACAAAAAATGAAAAATTATTGAAAGTTTAGTCATTCAGTGCAATATCCCGATACTCAAAAGTTTATAAAAACAGAAATGTAGCTTCAGTCTAAAAGCCACTTAATAGCATGCTTAGTAAACATAGCAACTTATGGTCCTAGCATTTTAATGTTTTTTTTTTTTAATTCTTTTGTCAATTTGGGTCCCAATTGACATAATATTCTATTATTTATTTATTTAAAATGCCTTATCAGCATGAAAGAATATACATGTGTATTTTGTCAAAAATTAGAGTGAATAGAACCGTTTAAAAATAAAATAACATTGTTTCCAGTGCTAGGGTTTGATACAGCATACCGCCAACGTATTTACTCTATTGAAAGCTCATCTTCTATAGAAAAACATAAAAACCCAAAAATCATACTAATTTTGATCAAATATGGTAATATGTTCTTATTTTTTGCTCCACTGTCGACTTTGTCAAGCAGAGCTTATCATATGAGTGATTGTCTGTTGTGTTCGTTGTTCGTCATTTGCATCAACTTTTTATTTTTTGACTTCTTCTTGAAAACTACAAGCTGATTGTTTTGATACTATACTATTTTAAAATATAAATCAAGTGGAATTTTATTATAGTTTGCAAACTTATTTTAATGAATATTTTTTAATATTTATTAGTTTTATAAATCCTTCATGAATGACTCCCAAGTATTTTTAATAACAAAGTTTACAACAGATTCCCTGATGAGGTCAAATATCGCTCAGTACTGCAGTTGATTTATCTTGAAATTCCTCCTTGAAATCATTTATTTACAACAAGTACAAGGTCATTGAAGACATGTTTATACCCCATGTATAAGAGTTGGACAAATAGTTACACCCCCCACACACACATACACATGGTTATTTAGAGTATTAAAAGCATAAGTATTGACAGTAAGCTCAGACAATAGTATTTGGGTCAGGCTGAAATTAGGTCAGCTTTAGAGACAAAGTAATTCAAAGTAGGTGCCAGCAGTCTGGACTATTTCATAAATTCATCATCATCATCAGTCGTGGTGGAGTGTAATCCAGCCAGTGAACTGAATATTCGTTTTCTGTACGATTAAGTTGATTAATAAATAATGATTGTTATTGAGAATTATAAACTAAGACAAGTCTAGCTACCCTCCCTCCCTATCACCCCCCCCATCCCTGAAATAATAATATTTGTGAGATTTTTGCATAGTGGTCAGCTGAAATATCTAATCTGATACAAAAAAAAATAGGTGGCCTGATTAATAACAAATATCAAGGATTTGTTTAATCCTGTTTAATTACATTTGTAAAAGCCAGGGACAAAGCTTGGTGTATAAAACAGCTCACAACTGGGATTTCCCGTCCATACATATGGTAGTCTCGTTCTGTTGAAATTCCATTGTCGTTTGTTTTAGTTCTTGACACCAAGGACTACAGTAGTGTTACATTCCTGTAAAGTCATCTTGTCTGTTACTTGATACTCGTATTTATCAAATAATTTATGTGTTTGATTCTCAGCAGATGGTTTCTTTTCTCTTTGATGTTGTACTTTAGAGGGATATTGAATTATTTGGCCATGAGCACTACTGACATATTTGACCTGTGCATATAAGGGACTGGTCGTTACCGCTAGAAGGGGGGTTAGAATTATAATGCGCAAATTATTTTTTTTAACATAGTTTTTGAACAATATTGTTTGTTCAATGTCGCTATGTATTCATGATGATATTGCTATACCCCCCCCCCAGTGTATAATGATCTACCCCTTAAGATTATGGAAGTAACAAGCACATATCTGCAGGATTTTAAAAGAATCTATTTGTCTGCTACCTCATTACTCCAATGACTTTCATTTCTCAACAACTTAAAAATACTTTTATTTCAAGGTTATTTTTTCTACTTTTATCATTTTACTATATTGCATACACTTCAATGGAATCTTCCCCCTACCTAAAGTTAAATAAACAACTAATCTGAAAGCCATACCTATAAGACCATATTGAAGACATGTAATCTTGTAATTGAGTTTATTTTAGAGAACGTTTATTAAAAAAAATTATTTAAAAGAAAAATGATACCAAGTACTGAAACAATAGGCCTAATAAGCCCAATTGTATCGTAAACATGACATTGTTTTTTACTTCAAGGTTTTCTGGCCATTAAAATCAATCACTGTATCTTCTCTTGAATGTCAGATTACTTTCAACGATGAGGGTTGGATTTAACTTTTTGATGACAATTTGATTGGAAAAAAAAGATTAATAATGTTTTATTTATTTCTTTTAAATACATAGGAGAAGAGTTTTTAATAGAAATCCACTACAAGTCTGCTAAGGCCTTGAAACATCAGGTGACCAACAGACAAGGATGCCATCTTTATTATCAGAATGTTGTTGAAGATGAGAACGATGGAGCCTTTGGTCCGATGAGTGCTGATCAAATCCCATTCCCAGACTTCAATGAGTTCTGCATGTCAGAGAAACAGACGGATCTTACCATGACATTGTTGCGGCACATGGAAAAGGGGTAGGTGGCACGATGAAATGCATATTTAGTTTTGGGAATCCGGAGTTGTAGTTCTCTTCGCACATTAAAGATCCTATTTCTAACATGGATATGCGCCCTCCACCAATCAGATCGCCGGATTCATGATTTATATTCTCTGTATAAATTGAGAGAAGTTAGTTAGAACATGGCTTTGTCAGCTGAAAATAAAAATAAAATTGAATAAATTGTTGCAAATTAACCTATATATATTTGTCAGTGGATTTGACTGGCTCTTCTGTCTCATTGGGCCCCTGGTAAGAATAAGAGGAGGCTTCCAGATGAGTAAGTGAAAAGGAATGTGATCTTATCCCTAAAAGGTTTCACTTTGGCTTACAAAACCTGGATAAAGTGCCATTTGAAGAAACACCATATTTTTAATATTCTGAATACCCCCGGTACTCTCCCAATATTTAATCATGATCCTACATCATTTTTTGTTCATATTTGACTAACTAGGGGGGGCTACTGTAAAAGGATTAATTATTCACTGGGTTTTAATTTTGCTTATTTCGCTGACTGGAAAATGCGCTAAATTAAAACCCAGTGAATATGTAAAATTTAGCATAGAACACATTATCTAAATAATAAAACCATGAATTTAAAACCCACTGAATATGCCTTAAATGGTAAATCAGCGAAATTTAAACCCAGAGAAAATTAGTCATTTTACAGTATATTATTGATAACTCCCTGTTAAATTTTAACTTTTCTCAGTGGCAAGACTTCCATAATTTCATTATGCTCACCAGTTTCACTTGATTTTGATAGAGTCATAGCTATCATTACAAAATTTATAATAATATTCATAAAAACACACCTATTTTTTCTGATAAATAAATAATTCTTATTTGAAATAAATTATTGGCAAATACCAGTAAATAACAAGAAATATTCATTTGAGAGACACTCCTCAAATACTGCCATACTTAGATGTTTTCATGACTCTGAGTAAACCTCAGAATTCACTGTGGCTTGTTATGAAATGTTTTGAATGTTTTTCAAAGAACAACTTCCTCTTTTCATTACTGCCAGCAGTTTTGTCATGACAGATCTTTGTTTCAATTGATTGTTTCACCAATTCATTTTTTTTAACATGCAGAAGAATACTTGAATACATGCCAATGTCTGCCATAAATCTTATGAAGTGTAACTATTTAACGGGACACACCGTTGGTCTGAGGAGAGGCTAATCATTACCGTTGTTTTTATAATTACTATTAGCAACTCAAAATAACAAAGATTTTCTTGCTTGAAAGTAAATTAAATTTAAAAATAAAAAGATAAGATTCAAAGTTTCAAGCTTCATTCAAAGTTTAAAAATTTGTGCAAAGTTTAAAAATTTGTGCAAAGTTTAAAGCGGGGGAGTCGTCACCTGCGCATGCGTCAGTTAGCCAAAGTGTGTCATTGTTCACAAACAAGCATCTACCCATGAGCCTTTGCGTTTTTAGTGTGTGTTGTTATCGTCGCTTGGGACTCAATTCCTGCACGTGCGCAGGTGAGGACACTCCTGCTTTAAAGCTTCGTTCAAAGTTTAAAGATACATGTGAAAAATTAATGTATTTCCCACATGTTGTAGATATCACCGGGAACTCACATTAAAAATGGGCGGTGCAACAACTTTCGGGTTTTTATTTGAATATTTAAGTGCTTTGGGAGAATTTATGTAGGGTTTAAAGAAAACCTGTTTAATCCGATGTGCTTCTGATTAACTGCGTTTTTTTTCCCCCCTATTTAGATTATTGCTGCATTGCCAGGATGGTAACATGTACTTGACCAGGTATGGCCGTACAGTGATCTTTTGGAACACGTCACAAAATGAAAACCAAGAGCCCGAGAAGAGCAGGCGTGGAGAATTAGTAAAAATATTTGATTATCGCAAATTCCGAGCAGAAATCACCGACTGCTTGGGCAAACTGGGTCCATGCCCGCCAGCCCCTCAAATATATCTCGGAATTGGCCAACAGTGGTCGTCAAAGTGTCCGCTAAAAAATAATTTAGTGTCAGTATTGGTTACACCTCTGAAGGCAATGGAGGAGTATATCTCCATAGCAACAAGGTAAATATGGGGATCAGAATGGATTATCTAAGTAAGGAGTACATATTTATCCACGAGGACGTAGTAATATTTTAAAAATGACAATTAAATTGAGTTTAATTTCAAGCATGCAACAAGGGATGAAATGCTAGCCTTCACGCAAACGGAGACTATATTTTGTAAGAACAGTCAATGACATATCACAATACGGTATTTGATTTTTATAAACTTTGTTCAATCTCAGTGATAGATGTCTTTAAATTTACTATTCTTTGCACCGATGGGGCTGTATGTTCTTTACTTATTATAACGTTCATCATTTAGCTAGAATATTCCTTTGTTTTTTTGTGTGCAAATATCTCATAAATACCTTATCTTTTTTTTGTGTTACACTTTCACAAATGTCACAGATTTTACCAATTTTAAATTCACAATACTAATTGCTATTTTGTATTGTATCAAAACTTCATTTGCATAGTGAACAATTTTTGTCCATTGAGGAGTCTTGTGACGCAATGAACAAGCGACATAATTGGTAGCAAAAGTAACTAAAATAAATCTGAACTTCTTTAAAAAATAAGTCAAGACAATCAAGAAGAATGTAATTTTCCCATTTTTTTTTTAGCTCCGCTGTCGAATTTGTCGAGCAAATGAGTGATTATCATATGATTGATTGTCCGTTGTCATCATCCGTTGTCTGTGTCAACTTTTTACTTTTTTGACTTTTTCTTGAAAACTACAAGCCTGAATGCTTTGATACTTGGTGTATATGTGCCTCAGGTACACCTCTCTTAGATTTGTTCATTTCGTGATGATATCTTTAATTCTCTAATTTAATTATTATTTTTGTCTTTTTTGGTGAAAAATGATATTTTTGACATCTTGTTAGAAGCAGCAAGTCTGATCACTTTG